TCCTAGAACCATTACATAAGAGAGGGTTCACTGTACCGACGATATGAAAAATCACCCTTTACTATTTTCCTAGACTTCAGAGGTAAAGATTTACATTGAGAACAAATCACAATAGCTTTTCGGTATCCCTGAATGAATAAACATGAGTTTGATAACTCATCAAACTACTGCTGAATAGACAAGTCTTCCTCCATCCCACCCCAAAACTGAAGTGTAAACATTTTTAACTACACATCATAATGCAACTTAGGCAGTGATCAAACCCTTCTGACACAAAACAAATAAAAAGCTCACTTACAGGAAAGAATCTATGAGAAAACTTAAGCCTGCATTTGTTCGACAAGCATTACATTCCTATCGTTCTATTAGGGTGAAACCAAGTTCAGCCTATCTGCAGTAATATAAACTAATTATAGTATAAGAGCCATTACTAAAGGATAGAGTGGTTATGAAGAGGGTATCAGACAGTTATAAAAGGAAGTATGTCTGAACTTCATTCAATACATGGCATTAAACTTCGTTTCTATACATACTCAAATAACTGAACACTTTTGTATAACGCACTATAAACATCTTTTGGATACAGAAAACATGTAATTTCATGACACTACAAGAGTATCTTCTTACATACCTAAGGTGGCCTACAGCTTTGGTACGCACTAGTGAAAGGAGAATATAATCATTTTGTTGACCTTGAAATCTGTCCACAGTCGTTACCTAGAGAACCAAAAACCAAGAGAAAACCTCCACAGGTTAATCTTTGCCATTTCAATTAAAACGTGACACCAAAATTTTAACATCAACTTCGGATTGAGACTGCAATAAATGGGAAAAGAAAATGCTTTAACTCTGTTTTAATTGACCTCTAACCAAAAATCAGCCTGTTCTTTTTGGGAGATGTTGGGAGGAGCTTTTGTCTGACCGTATACCAATTCTTTTACATTTTTATTCAATTCAGACAGCTAACAGTGGGGTGCTAATACCAAAAGATTGTGGAAAGTTTTGTAATACAGAGTTTTAACCTGCAGAATTAGCACCAGACTTTTGTAACTATGTTTTTTATTTGTTTCATCAGATTTGTCATCATACATTTTATCAAATCATTTCCACTCTGGGTGGACCTAAAGGTGTGGGTTTTGGTTTTTTTTTTGTTTTTTTTTTTTTTTGTTTTTTTGAGGACAAAATAAATGACAAAAGAAAAGAGTTATTCTGTCCCATGTAGTCTGTAGCCTTTCCAACTTCACTGACTTCAGTTTGTTTGTATGTCAAATTACAAACAGGCAGAAACAAGGGCACTACTCTATGAAATTCCATAGAATGTAGGTTAATAAATGTGTAGTTAACCAGGGAATACTTGTGCAGAAAGCTGTGAATCTATTCAATTAGTCTGTTCTATAGTACAACAATTTAAAAGCAAACAAACCAGAATGAATCCAGTGAGTGATATATTTTCAAAGTCACCTTGTTTGGGCGCCCAATCAGTGGATTATTTCCACACCGCTGATTGATGACATCACGGATCAGGTGTTTCTGCCCATTGTATGTTGTCAGGATACTTATCTTGTCTGCAGGATAACCAAGCAGGCACATATACATGAAGAGTGCTACAACATACTCTGCTTCACCAAGATTCTTAAGTTTAAAAGAGGAGAGAGAGGGAAAAAAAAAAAAAGGAAAAAAAAAGGAAAAAAGGGGTTACTCAACTTGTAAGGTTGGAAAGAATAACGTCTGATGTGACATTATCATGTATTTAGACAAAAAATCTCAGTGCTGAGAAACATCTGTAGATCTGAACTTTCTTTGCTCACTTAAAAGACATTTTGAAAGAACAAAAGAACAAGTAGGTTTAATAACTTCATTCTGATTCCTCTTCAGAGAATTGCTGAAAATCTCTACATCAGTATTATTGTTAGTCATTGATTGACACTTTCCAATATCTACTCAGCAGCTCTTCAGTTTTATTTCAACATAAGATTAAAATCTAAATATTTAATAGTCCATTTAAATTATATTTATGAGCTATTAAATATTTACACATTTGTATATAAGTGCATTTATACACTTAGAGCTGTCTGCCCAACAGAACTGCCACCTTAACTGTATTATTACAGAACTCAACCAATAAAATATTTCATTTTTCCTTCTTAAAGGTCACATGCCAAAAAACCACCTGTTATGTAAAACTGTGCAATTATTATTTGTTAAAAAGTATTACAAGCTGATAGTCTACAGATACCTGTATTTAAATACAAGGGTTTAAAAAACACTTAGCACAAATTTAACATGGTTCCAAATACGCACACAAAAAAGTTGCAATTACTCACACTCCAGTAAGATGAAAGTAAGAACTAGTTGAAGTAGAATAACTAAACTCCTTTCAACTATTAATTAGGAGAGACACATCTGGATTATCAAATCCAGTTATTTCTACTGAGGCCATACCTATTCGATTTCAAATGACCAGCCGTTATTTTGTATTTCGTAACTTTTTTCCTGTGCCATTACTAATAATAAATGTCTGTCCCAAAGCATCACTTCTGGCTGTACAAAGTTTTGTCCTATTTCCAGACTGAAGTTATTCATAGCCTGTTTAAATCCCTTTTCCGTCAACAAAAGTTATCTTTCAGGCTAAAAAGTTATTCTCGATTGCTGCCATTTACTCCTGCTCTATTTATACTGGGAATCTTATCCCTGCTTGGTATATGTTTGACTAGGCTAGACATACCAGCCTCCTTTTTTTCTTCTTATTAAGTGGGCGCTGCATTACTTGGAAAATGCAGTTGCTACACATACCAAACACCTGTGGGTGTAAAGCTATTCTACAAATCTTAATCCCCTTTAAGTCTGGAAAGAAATGCCCAAATTCACAAAGAGAGAAATAATACATGGCAGGAATTTGTTTTCTCATGAAAAAATGCAATGCCACCAACATACTCTGCTAATATCTCTCCATCCTCGAGATCATGTAAAAATTAACTGTAGGACATATTATAAGAGTTTCCTCATGAAAGCACTGTAAAGGTGTTCTGCGTCCTTGCATGAGTGTTCTCAGTCTTCTTTAGCCCAGGAGCGGACTAAAGCAGTGCTCAGATTCTCAGTTATCAGAATCCTGTTTTTAAGGCACTAATTTCAGCTGTTCCACAAGACAAGTTTTTATTACTTGTACATTACAGCGTTACAGCTTAAAAAACAAAATCATAAGAAAGTCTCCCCTCCAAACAACCCTGTCCTCAAACTAGAAATGAGATATAGTGGATTATGGCTTACCATGGCTTCGTTCATTAACAGCACACTAGTTTGTATTAAAAAAAAAAAAACTGAGGGGAACCCAAGCACAAACTCTAATTATCTTTCATACCTTTTAAAAAATAGATTAACATAACTCCCAATGATCTTCACAGGGAAAAAATGACCATGAATATTATAATCTTAAAGTATATTGTTTGCTTTCCGTAATATTAAACAAAATATAAGTGTTAATTCCATATTTGAATTAAAATCATTAACTTGCACACAGCTACAGCCTCTAACTTTGCCAAAACCCAAACTAGTAATTTAGGCACCAGAGTTTGTTTTCATCACTGTTTTTAAAACAAGAAAAATAAGAGGACTGAAAATACAAGCATCTCATTACAAGTGTAAAAGGTTTTCCTATATTTAAGAGAATTAGATGGAGGCTGTTGTTGCTGGCTTTACTTGAAAATTTAGTTGAGAAATTCCAAGGCTAAGGTTTTTTTGGCAATTTACTTCAGCCTCAATGTCTCTCTGCCTCTTACATATATTTCTTGCAGTACTGTTTCATTCTTTTATGAATGAGCTTTTTAGCATTCTTAAATATAGATCAAATCAAAACAGTGACTCTTCAAACTCAAATATGTGCCACAGAGCAAACTTTGATCCTTCATGTACAGGGGAAATACTACTGTTTATTTCACTGTCATGGCAGTACGGCTGAATTATAAGGACTTTAATTTGCCATAGGCCAAAACAACGTTTTATAATGAATTATACACCAAATCTCACCCCTCTCATAATATTGAAAAAACACCGATATCAAGCAAAGTCATTCACTTTGAGCAAAAAGCACAACATAAGTTATCATTTTCAACATTCAAAACTGATTAAAAGGAGAAAAAAAATCATGCATACACATGACTCAATTATCTGAGAACATGAATTAAACATCAGTTTACTGTATTTTGATAGTCTGTCTTCATTGCATATTTAATAAGCCATATCCAGATTAAATAAAGCATACATGTAATATTTCTCTTACTTGATAGAAATAAGGATTGGGTTCAGACTCTCCCACACCATTGAAGTCTTCTACGTTTATAAGCTGGAAGTCGTACAAAAACCCAGCATTGGCTGTTCTGAACTCTGGCAGAAGCTGCACATGAGGCAGGTTACCCAGATTCTTGTAACGCCAGTTGTAGAGGTTACATAAACTGTTCAAAAACACACAGAGACAAACCCCAAATAGTTACAGCGGGTTCTTGAACTCATTCAAGATAGTTTAGATACACACAACCCCTTGCTTTGAAGATGAATGCTTCTGTAGGTTTTCAATGAAAAAAATAATATTGCTGGATAGCCTGTACATATATAAACGAACATACTGGTACAAGCTATCCAGCAATTAAGTTTTGATTCTGTCTGGTTCTCTCTCACAGAAAACTTCAGATTTCGCTTCTTTTTAGAAAGCTCAATGCAGCACACTCACCCTTAAGCCTGTTACGCTTGATCTGCTCTACACTGAAGGGTAGAAATTTTGCAAAGAAATCTAGTAAGAATTTTCATGGGGAACAAACCTTAAGGAATATTAATGCTTCTTTACAAAAGAAAGGAGTAAGGGAAAAAGGAGTTTTTGCATTATCTGCTGTAAAGCCCCTTACTGCAAAAAGAAATTTATTTTCTTATTTTGCCTATTGCCATGTATTAACATGCAATGTGAAGGGAAGCAACCAAAATCTACACAATTCTGAATCATATCTGGTATTTATAGGGACAGTAATATAAACAAAATGCCTCAGTCAGAAACGCACAACAATATCCAGACCAGATAAAGTAGCAGATAGTTCATGGGGAAGCTACCTCTGATCAGAAAAGACAAAGCATAGGAAGGTATGGAAAAAATCCTTGATCAAGAAATTGCTCGCAAAGTGACGGAATTCTTCTGCTCTCTTATCTCTAAAAAGTTCTGAGATGTTGCAAAATAGTAGATGGAAAAATAAACTTCATTTATCATCATACTCAGATATAATTTGCATTTTTAAAATCATACTGAAAGTATCTGTTATTCATACGACTGGAAAATAATATTCTACCACCCCCCACATTTCTTACATAAAAGACTTGAAGTTCTCCTTCACATGGTTCGTTCTACTTTATGCATTAAAAAAATTAGGATTTAAAACTAAACTTTAGTTTAGATATTTATTTAGATTTTAGATTTCATATGGAGTAATTTTCTCTTCTTTGGTTTTATTTTTCCTTGCTAATATGACACACAAACACGCACTTTACACAATAAATAAATTTGACATCTAAATTACCACAATGAAATGACAAATACATGGATAAAAAGAAAAGTTATCTTACTACAAAGAAGCAGTATCTCTTTTAATATTAAAAAAAAGGCATTATGCTCTTGTGTGGACAGCCCGGTTGTCTCCAATAAATCAAAGCTGAAGCTCTGCTGAAATACTACAGGAGAAGTACCCTTTTGCAGACCATAAGGGAAATATGAAATATTCAAGGCCAAATAAAGAAAATCTTTATTTAGCCTTGAAAATTTTAAATATATTAGTTTAGAAAAGGAAGCTTCTGCAAAAAAGTCTCAGCTGTAAAAAAAACCCAAACACTTAAGAAAATAAAAATGCTATTTAAAGGAATTTTAATAAAAGTACTCATACAGTAGCAGAGTACTACTATATAAAAAAAAAAGGAAGTAAAACTGATTGCATTTCAGCGAAGTACAATCTGACTTCCTAGTCTAAGCTGAAACAAATGGAACAAAACAACTAAATTAGTTTTGCAAACTCCTGTCCTAACAACAGGAAAAAAGTTTCTAATACTATGTGTGCTTTTCCAATCTTTAACCTGGTAGTTTCTTGCAAGCTAGACATGACATTTTCTCTTGACTCACCTTGCTCTTGCTCTTCCTTGTGCATCCAAATCAACAGTTGGCACTCCAACACGAACAAACCGTGTAAAGAGGGACTGCTCCATGTTGGAGTATTTTTGAAAAGCCATGTTCTTAATGACTGGTGGCAACTGATGATGATCACCAATCATAATCCACCGCTTCAAACGACTGAATCCATCCTGGGGGTTCTAGATTTAAACAATTACACAATTATAACTATTACAGTATAATCGAGGCACTCAATTACAACACATTAATAGTCAAATTGGCTGTCTTAGTCTAAGCCCTAAATTTCAACATTTGTTCTCAAGCTACACTGAACTGCGGTCATTTTAAAGACAACTACTAGCTTCTTTCCAATCTACTACCAGAAAAAGGGAGTAGTATTTTAAGTAGTCTTGTTTCTTATAAAGCAACAGGTAAGTTTATCTATTAAAATCAGTAGAGAAACACCAGGATAAATATCGTATTACATTGTTTTAAAGGCTAAAAGTAACATATTATCAGAGGACAAAAGGAAGAACCAATTATAGAAGTTACAGCAATAAAAAACCTGATTTTAACAGTAACTGTTACCTTACAACACTCTTTTAAACATGATTTTTTTGATTCTGAGATAGTGGATAGAAGTGCCTGAAGCATCTGAAACAATTTTAGTGCTCACATGTCTGGGGCACAAACTGAGCCTGCTTTTCAGGTGTCTCTCTGGTTCATGTGCTTCACCTGTTTACCTCTGGAATTCCTACATGGCCTCTTCCATGACCAGGATGTGCCTCTAACTAATCCTCACCCGAGCTCTTGGACTGACTGCTCTTCAGCATGTTTGGTATATCTCTTTCCAGTTCCTCATCATCCTTTGTGTACCTATGTTACATACTGACAGAGCTCATGAAGGAACGTTGTAATACAGGGACAAGGAAGGAACAGATGTGTGGGTAACATCATCCAGGAATTAGAATCCTGAAGATTTCCAGCTGCCAGTTTTACAATTCAGACCCTCATTTCTTACACACTCCTGTGATATTTCCCTTTCCCCATAGGAGCACTATTCAAAACAGAGCCTGAAGTTCCTTTTCTTGGCACTTGAAGTGGAGGAGTGCTGAAGCTCCCTCTGATCAGAGAGCAAGGAAGGAAAACTGAACTCTGGACTGCCCGGCTCATCAAGCCTGAAGATGCCTTAGTAAGAAAGTAAGAGGACAGAAATTATTTTCAATGGCATGGAAAAAAAGGTTACTGATTTGGAGAAGACCAAGCATTCTATATAATCATTCTGCTCTTATCAGAAATTTCAATCTCAGACAAAGAGCTCTCCAAAGAACTCTGCTTTTAAAAATTTCTTACTCTCAATTGCAAGTGCAAGAAGTCAAGTACTACTACACTGTAAGCCTAGTCTTTAGGTCTTGTTAAAAAAAACCCTCCATTTTCAAGGACTATTTGGATGGCTCTTGTAAGAATGGTCATGGAATAATCCCCAGAATATGGCTCTATGGTGAAAAGGTCTGCTTTAATTATACAAAACTCTTCAGCTTCTGCATTGTTCATATCCATATATTTCCCCTCACCAGCCTGATGCATCTGGTTATTCAATGCTCATTCAAACGTTTGAAAAACACTATAAGATGCTTATTTCATTAAATATAGTCATTTCATTATCAATGAAAACCATGGTAAAAGCCACGCAGGATTTACTCATTACACAGCACTATAATACAATGTTGTAACATTAAATTCAAGACTGCCAAAACGCAAAAGCAACAGCCTTAAGTATTACACCTCTTTACGCACAGAGATTTAAATACCTAATTGTGGGAGAAGCCACCTAAACGACAACTTATGCCTCCATACCTTTCTGACAGGGGAATCTAACTAAGCAGCAAGAAGAAATCTTGTATTTCAGGTTTAACTAAATTGAATGTTGTTCTAAAGACTACAGTGAGGATTCATTAAGCTTGCATGACAGAAAGGAACCAAGTGTATTTCATTGCATTATTATAATTGCTGAACTAATAAGTGAAGGGGAAAGAGAGCTTGACTTGATTTGTGAGAAGCCTCACCCAGTAGAGGTTTGCTCTCCAAACACCCCAAATAAAATGGACAAATATGTGCTCCTGTTCAGAGTTCCAGCAGTGTTTGAGGTTTAGAGGGTGAATTAGTTGCCTACCTGCTCAGAATTATCAAAACTCAGTAGTCTTGAACACATCGAGAAGGCGTTAAAGAACTGCATTAATATCCCCAAAACTTAAAAACCTACAGAATTAAACAGCAGCTGAGAACAGGAACTTGGGCTTTAATAGCAATACAGATAACTTGGACATGCACATTCTTTTGTGCACTAAGCCTATACTGAGTTACTTTCCTGCAGTTGTATTCTACTCTCCATTGTTAAAGAGCAAAGCGAAAAATTATGAGCTGCAATTACAAATATATCAAATATTTCATGGAGTTTCTATCACACCTTTTTCAATTGAGATTAATTTCTTTTAGAATGAATACCCAAAAGCTTGGATGTGGTTTTCTAGAAGACTTAAAATTATTGCTTTTCAATGAAAATATCTGCTCCAGGCAAAACTTCTGGAAGGAAACTTAATTTTTGAATATGAACAAATGCAGACTGTGTGTTTTTCAGAAAGCCACTAGAGTAAGAATCAAATCAACAGTACAGCGTGTCTTCAGTTTTACTGACTTCCCACAGCTAAAGAGTTTGCACAGAGTTCCTGGGGGAGCCTGTACTTCACTTCCAGAGGTGAAATTTTATCTCGTGATAATCTGTGATTACAGAGATAACAGAGCCACAGATGTGCGAGAAGCACATTTTGCTTACTTATGAACTCCTCTAGCTCTTAGAAGAGGAAAGTGATGCATCTCAAGCTCAGGTTGCTAAAAGCAACCACAGATAACCTTCACTGGAGGCACAAAAAATTTCAAGACAGTCTGAGTGAATGTGTTGAGTTTAGAACGATCAGAGTAAATGATTTTAGTGAAAGATACTCAAATTTAAAAGTAGCAGTGTTGGCCCTCTATTACAACAATCCCTTATGTTACAGAGCCATTGCTGCCTGGCTTCCTAAAGACTGTGCTATAAATATCCCCTGTGCCACATTAGCTTCAGTTTCCTTCTTTCCTTCCCTGCATTAGCAGTACCTTTCCAGCTGCAAGACTTCCATTCAACTCTATCACATCTACATTCCTTTATCTACCAACCGTTGGTTTGCCAAACAGAGTACAACCTGCAGTTTACTCTAGGCTAAACATTTACCAATTAGCTGAACAAAAGGTGCATAATTATTGGGCAGAACCAGTAACCGTTTCTCTTCTTTCTGTGGAGTTGTAACATCAATTAGAATGTCTCCCCTCTACTTGGCTCCAGTATTCCTGAAAGTTGTAGATGCTTGGTATCTCTCAGTCTCTGTCACTCTTGACTGAAACTGACCAAACACCACAAGCAGACAGGATGACACAAAGCAATTATGTAAGCCTTATGTTCTTGGGAAACAAACCTGTTATTTAATAAGAAGTATTAATTTTAACGATTTTTAAAACTAGCAATAATCACTATTAAATGAGAAAGAATAAAAGTTACAAAGCCAGGACCTAGTTTACATAAATACCTTCACTTTTTTATTTTCAAAATGAAAGCCTGCTAATACTACTATTTAGTCAATAAAAGCAACATACTTACAACCTATTAGCTTACTCCACAATATAAAAAAACAGGATAAACAACTAATATAGAACAATGTGAAAGTTCTTACTGTCCACTCAAATGGCAAATATCAGTTCTAGGTTACTTTCTGCACAAGGTATTTTCCCTTTAATATTCTATATTGTTCAAGAACACAGACTTTCGTTTATCATTTTTTGTAATAAATTTTATAATTCAGGTCTAACCTGCAACAGGAGAGGTATAAAGGTTTCTATCTCCAGAATCTGAGCAGACTCTTCCATTAAGATGTTGTCATACTAAGAAAGAAAAAGCAAAGAGATGTCCATCAATCAAGTAATACAAATTAATGCTGTTATTCAGCCTACCAAAAGAAAGCATTTGGTTTTTGATGGGTGGGACAGTTACAGCAGGATTTTACTTTATAGGCAAAATATCAGTATTACTAAAAATCCATGTCAGAGGGTGAAATCCTACTACATCAATGGCTGATCTATCTGTACCAATCAGGGCTTACATCTAGAAGGAATCCATGACTGAACTACATGACATGCTTCCCATATGCCATAATTCATCCACAAGAGAAAAGCTTTCTGCAGTTGAGCAAACTAATTTGGTATCTTTGCACTGAAGAAGAAAAGGAGCACTTTTGTGATCCAATACAGTGCATTATAGGAGAAAAATAATACTGAAAGAATTATTGGTGGTGGGCTTTTGGGTTTTTTTGTCAGATAGAAGTCTGTACTAAATGAATACCTATGGTTAACATTGCAGAATGAAAACAGCATTGCATCATAGTTCTTTTTCCTCAAATTAGTCATTTTTTAGGTAAACAAAGTTATAAAGGCCATGGGTTTTGCCCAGTTCTGCCTTTATTTTATTACTCAATCATATCACTGCTGTTCATCATCTAATATGACAAAACTTTTTTTTTTAATAGAGATGCACTATTAAGGACTTTTGTATATACAGTAACTTAAAAGTGATCTCATCTTACAGAAGTTAAATTTTTCTTCAGTAAAATTACAATTTGAAACATACTGGTAAAAAGTGCAACTCAAAATAATCTAGTTGCCTAGCTTTAGGACAGATAAAAAGGTTTATACAAGGCAGGGGGTGGACACTAAACCCAAAAAACAATTAGTGTAGTAACACTAGTATAATTATTACTTTGAAACCTAATTCAACCAGGTCATGTCGTTTCAGAGCAGCATGAGTACAAGTCATGGCAATGATTTTTGCTTCTTTCACCAACAGGTATTTGGATCTATCCAGGCCACTGCGGAGAAGTTCAAATGCTCTGAATTCCTGTGGTAGAGAAAATAAAATTTTGAAAGTCAGAATACAAAAAATTATTGCTTATAAAATGTATTCATTCAAACTATCTGGCCACCTTCTTAATATAATTAGGCAAGAAAGTTATGAGGGTATCTATTGTTGACAATCTCATCTGAATCTTTTTTTTTTTTTTATGCTAAACCTGGAAACAACAATATTTCAAAAAACAATCTTTTAAAAACACATCAAAGAATTCTGCAACCTGTGTGCATAAATAAATTTACAATTGTTCAATTGATTCTGAGGAACCACCTCAGAATCCCCCAAAATTTTGTTTTACTACATCTTCTTGTTTCCTACTTTACTGCAGTGTAACATCACATCAAATTCAGTATTAGAAAGACCAATAAAGTTAATATGACCAAATGATACCCAGATCACCTTTACCCTAACTTTTAAAAGCCTCTCAAGCAATTCTAGGAAAAATAGAAGATAATCTGTTTAAGTTACTTCTAGGTTATCTGATTAAAGGCAATTCACTGTAAATACAAAGACCCTGCGAGGATCAGAGGAGCAGTGATAGGCGCACCAATGCTAGTAACCTAATCAGTGAAAATGGAACATGCAGAATGGCTGCTTCCTAAGATCAAAATAAAACAGATTATACCCTTGTCCCTATTGTGAAACATGCCTACATTACTCAAAGGTAGAAATTCTCACCTGACTGCCTTGCAAGCTAATGAAGCTGTCTGGAAGTATATACTGCTTTTAAGATGTAGGGCAAAGGAGAATTTTGGAATTCTGTAAAGTTTTTTATAGGATTAGCCAGATCCACTTACCTTTAATAGTTACATGTCTTACCTCAAGCTGAGTGAATATTTTCTTAACATGTCTAAAACACCCTTCAGCAATTTCCATATCTTCTTCATAGGACTTGCCTTTGAAAATTGGCTGAGGAGCATTTGCAAAATACTGGTGAAAAGGAAAAAAACTGGAGACATCTGTAACATCTGGCAATTTTCCACCTTTAACTTTCACTTTGCTGATATACTCCTCCCAACGAGACATTACCTATGGCAAACAAAAGTGTCATACTGACGTGTTTTTATATCATACAGTCATTGGCAAGGTGTAGTCTTGCACACATAGTATTAAAAAAAAAAAAATTATCACAAAAGCAAGGTATGTCTAAATTAGCATTTGACCTTGATTCAGGTTGAGATTTTTGAAGCTGTGGTGAGTTGACCTTCACTGGCTGCCAGACTCCCACCCAGCATCTCTCACTACTCCTCCTCAACAGGACCAGGGGAGAAAATAAGATGGAAAAGCTTATGGGTTGAGATAAAGTCAGGGAGATTACTTAGTGGGTACCATCACAGGCAAAACAGACTTGACTTGTGGAAAATTAATTTAACGTATTGTCGATTAAAAATAGATAGGATGGTGAGAAACAAAGACAAAACCAAAACCACCTTTCTTCTCCACCACCTCCTTTCCAGGCTCAATTTCACTCCTTCATTCCCTACTCTCTACCTCCTCCCCACCCTGAGCAGTGCAAGAGGAATGGGGCTTGTCATTCAAGTTCACAACACCGCATCTCTACAACCCCTTCCTCCGCATACTTCTCCCCTGCTCCAGTATAGGCTTTCCACAGGCTGCAGCTTCCTTCAGGGAAGCTCCCTTCAGTTCCAGCATGGGGTCCTCCACGGGCTGCAGTGTGGATATCTGCTCTGACACAGTCCTCCATGGGCTGCAGGGAGACAACCTTCTTCACCATGGTCCTCTCCATGAGCTATGGGGGAATCTCTGCTCTGGTGCCTGGAGCACCTCCTGCCCCTCCTTTTCCTTGATGTGTGGGGTTGTTTCTCACACTCTCTGCCCCCAGATGCTGCGCAGTGTTTTTTGACCTTTTCTCAAAGATGTTTTCACAGAGGTGCCACGAGTGTCGCTGATGGGCTCAGCGTTGGCCAGTGGTGGGTCCACTGGAGCTGGCTGTGTCCAGCATGGGGCCTCTTCTCACAGAGGTCACCCCTGCAGCCCCTCGCTTCCAAAACTTTGCCACATAAACCCAACAGAGAAACAAATCTCTTGATTATCTCCAGCTACAGTATTTTGGTTTAAATACCAAGTTGGATTCCTTTGGGAGGAAACTGAAGCAGAAGATGAGCTCTAGCAGCGCTCCTAGACTTTCCAACAGCTAATGACCATTTAATGTTTAGGCTCGCACTACAGCTAGCCCAGAGTAACTTCTGTAAAAACATATATAGCGTATGCATTTGATCTTAAGTACCACTCTACAAGTCTGCTTAAGCCACACTAATAGCTAATGTAGACCATGTCACTGAAAAATACATGGAAGGGAAACGAGGGACATATAATATACAGGAAATCACCATTTTGTATATTATGCATCTGATTTCACACTGGCATTTAACACCATAAAAGCTTCTAGCAGGATCATCAAGTAGCTGCTCTAATGCTTGTCCAAAATGTAAAGCAGCCCACAGATTTTTCCTATCTGAAGGAGAAACTTCAGGTTAGAATCTTTGCCAGCAGTCATGAAGAGCAGCAATGCTAGCCTTTCAATTGGTGAGTCATCAGGCAGGATTTAAAACAATACAAGTAAGTAATGTTGCAATTATAGCTTTAGCTGTTATTGTATTTTGAACCACCAAAGAAAATGTGGTTTTTTTAGACTGAATTCTGAAAAATTCACTCCAATTTTTACAAAGTGTTTCATAACATATTGAGGTCATACAGTCTCTGTAGAAGTATTTCACTCCTTACTTGGTATAAGAAAAAGTGGCCAGCTGTTTCACAAGTGTAAGAAACATCTCCTGGGACTCCAAGACTCTCTTGCAATCTTCCAACTTCTCGTAGAAGTTCAAGTCTTCGAGCCAGCACATAATTAACTCTTCCATACCTACAAAATGGATTAAATATAACATAATTTGTATTTAAATGTATTTAATTCAAAACTGTTTTATCTAAGTATCACAATGAGACATCACAAACAACCCAAACCGCGCCCCCCTCCTTCCCCTGCAAAAAACCTCACAACTACTACCAGGTTCCAAAAACCAAGAATTTGCTACATGCCGACTATTTCTATCAGTTGAGTCCCAATAATTTACAAAGCCATGCAAGAGCCATTACTATAGAAAAAGCTCCTTTTATCCTATCACTTCAACAAAAGCTTCATAAGTGTTAGTAAAATATTCTTATAATGTACCTGTAAAGCAGAAAAGCATTACTCCCAATGTACTGTTTAGGAACTATGGTACACTACATGTTACACAAACAAGCAAGTTATACAAGTCTATGGACCATCATAAATAGAACCTATACTCGAAGTTTCAGTATGATAAGGCTGACTTCCTTTGGCAATATACAAAATGTCTTGCAATAATGCTTAGCCCACCATAACACACAGGTCTACATCCACACATAGGAGGTCCTGTACTCACAGCTGCCTGTTCAGTAACTTTTATGACTGATTAACTTTTAACCTTACTCCTTCTACTCTTCCTCCTCTTACCCCATTCAAGCCCAATTTTTTTCCTTTATAAATCGATTTCCCTAATCCATGCTAGGTTCGAAGGGGGAAGGGGATGAAA